ACCTTCGCCAAGAAGGTTATGTTTTCAGTAGCGTTTGTCTGTCTGTGAACAGCATAACTCAAGAAGCTTAATATGGATTGTCATGAAACTTGGTATGTGGGTAGGTCTTAATGAGACCGAGAAATGATTAGATTTTGGGGCCCCTGGCGGCTTTTCTTGGTACTGCAGCAGAACTTCCGGTTTTGATATCTCGCGATCTAGACATGCTAGGGTCACGAATTTTGGTTGGTAGATAGCTCTTGGAGTAGGGAAGATGTGACCTGAGTTTAGACCCCCTAGCAGCTTGTTCTGGAACTGCAGGAACGTTTCTTGAAAAATCTCCGAAGGTTGATAACTCAAGAACCGGTTGACGGATTGTCATGATTTTTGGTATGTAGGTAGCTGAAGTGATGCTTGACATAATCAGATGACAATTATGCAAATCAGGAGCTAATTTGCATAATTAATGAAGAAGTTCTATAAATCTGATTCGTTCGATAAAAGGACTATGAAACACTTGTGACATGTAATTGAGAACTAGAAAAACATCTGAGGATATAGATTATGTAAATGAAGACCTAATTTGCATGATTAATGGGAAAGTGTTATAATTTCATAGTTGTAATTGCTGGGAATTTCATACTTGCCGCATTTGGAAGTTAAGTGAAGGTGAACATCAATGAAGATAATTTATTCACATGATGACCTCATTTGCATAATTTATGAGGAAGGACTATAATAGCCTTTTTGTTAAGATAAGGCTGCCATTGGGTGGAGAATATGATCAACTGATATAATCCATGCAAATGACGCTCTTATTTGCGAAATCAATTATTAAAATTGTACAATTCGTTAACCGCAAGGGTTAACATCATTTGGCGAAGGTATGAGATCGTGGAACTCTTGTTTGAATTCCTTTTCATACAATAAAAGTGAGAATCCATTACTATTAAAGAAAATTGATTAATTCTAGGGGTTATTAAACTTTATAAATAAGCAAATTCATATTTAGTAGGAACTGAATTAATTTTTGATAATATATAAGTATGGTTTAAAGGTTATGTATTTTTAAAAACAGTTACAGTCAACAGTTATGCTGGGGAAATTGCAAAGCTGTCTGAAGACATGGCAAGGCTGGAAAGGAGAACTGAACGTAAGTAGCATTTCTTTAGAAGCATCATTGTTATGTGAAAGTTTTTTATTTTTATTTGGCAGTACGTTTGCTATTAGGTACAATTTTTGGAAATGTTGTGTGACGTTTGAGAACTGAACGTAAGTAGTATTTCGTTGTAATTGATAGCATTATTGTTATATTGTATGCTTGTTATTTGAGTTGGAGGTTACTTAATAGTTAAGGTTTTGTGCTTTTTGTTTAAAACAGTTAAAGATGGCAGTCGTTCCGGGGAGATTGAGAAACTGTCTGAAGAGGTTGCCAAACTGAACAGGACTGCACGTAAGTGCCCTATTATACTAAAAACTTCCATGCAAAAAAAAAAAAGATATGAATACGAATGTCTTTATTACTTGTTATACGTAGAATCAGTTTTATCACCATATCTTGCTTTTGTGGTATTCAAAGATTGTTACTCTTTCTAACAGTAGCAGTCAGCACTCTTTCTGAAGAAATTGCGAAATTATCTGAAGAAGTTGCAAAACTAAACAGGACTGAACGTAAGTGTCGTATCATACTAAACACTACCATGCTGAAAAAAGGACATTGATACAAATAACTTCATTGCTTGTTATATGGAAAATAATTTTTTTAACAAGGCCTTGCTTTTGTAGTATTCAAAAGTTATTGCTCTTTCTAACAGTAACAGTCAGCAGTCGTTCTGAGGAAATTGCTAAGCTATCTGGAGAGATTGCCCGACTGAAGGAGACTGCGGGTAAGTGTATAGCTTATCTTCAATAAAAATTCCGTTATAACATTAACTGACATTAACTGTACGTCATTCAGCAGTGCAGGCGGACACAGTAAAGTAGCCTGCTGTTTAGCATACGTTGTGTCCGGCACTTAAACTGTGTCATTTTGGTATTATTTCGAAGTGTTCTATTGTGGACATCCTCCTTTTGTGATGGCAGCCAAGCGCGGTGTTTCTTACTGCTTGTGAGACAACGAGTAAACCTTAAGCACAGTTAAGGTTGTGATTAAATATTGTTTTCTTTACTACACATCTTGATGCTTATTGAAAAACCTAGGTTACTTATAATTTTAATCAACTAATCATCAGGTTTTGATATTCCACTATTTCCTTTTCTTCCTTTTTGTACTCACTCACTTCACTCACTCACTCACTCACTCACTCACTCACTCACTCACTCACTCACTCACTCACTCACTCACTCACTCACTCATTCACTTGCTCATTTACTAAATCACTCGCTCATTCACTGTCACTCACTCACTCACTTACTCACTCACTCAATGAATCAATTAATCACTGTCCCTGCCCCTGCTGTAATAATTTAAGAATCCTTTTTTTTTCTAGTGTCTTGTCCTATAGGTTATTTCGCGTTGAAAGGAACCTGCTACAAGATCTTCAAGATACCGAAGACATTCAGCAAGGCGACTAGGATCTGTGGCCAAGATGGCGGCACCCTCGCCATGCCCCGAGACGCTGAGACAAACGACTTGCTGCTCAACTCTCACCAAACCCGTTCCATTAAATGGATCGGCCTGCACGATCAGCGTGAGGAAGGGGAGTTTGAGTGGGTGGATGGTTCTGCGCTTGGAAAGTACAAGTTGTGGGGTTATGGTCAACCAAATAACAGTACTGGAAATAATGAGGATTGTGTCGGTTTGAGGTGGGACAAATGGTTTGACAAGCAATGCAGACTCCTTTTTTCCTTTATCTGCCAGGTTGCTCCAGGTATTTAACACAAAATGACATTTCCATGAAGTTTAAAAGAAAATAGCATGATTTGATATCATCAAATTATTGCAACTGTTTAATTGAGACTTTTCACAGACATTTTTTTTTGTTTTATTTATGATCAGTTCCTTAATTTTCTACAGGACCCGTACCAGGATAACAGGACCACTGTAGAAAGTTGCATTGAAAGAACATCTAGAGGAAACCATGTGGTAAAAATGAAATTAAAACGAGCAAGATGTCTCCTTTATATTGTTTCAAACAGGGTCTTTTTGCTTGTTTGTTAGTGCCCAGGTTTATGATTATACTTAATAAGGTTTGCAATGATAATACGAAAGGCTTGTGTAAATGATGTCAAATACACCAAAAACATCGTGTAACAATGATGTTTTACAATGGTTTGGAAAGTGTTAGGTCCCCACTAAATACATGGACACCTATTGCAATGAAAGCCAATTTTACAATTTATCCATTGTCTGATTTAAGATACAGTTCAGAAAAAAAATCTGAAAATCTGTAGCTTTAGTGTGCAGGGAGTAAAACGTCAAGATCATGTGTTTTTTAATGTACTACATAATTGATATTTCTTTTATGAACGTTTTATAACAATAATGACTAAAATATACAATAAGAAATTCATGTTAAGTTAGAGACGTAGTAGTGACAGCCCGAGTATAAACAAATATTATTTGTCATCGCTGTGGGCCTTTTTAAAGCAATAATAATTACATTAGAGAACATAATGTTTTGTATTAGAGTCAATTCCGCGTCACCGTGTGGGTTGTTATTGTCATTATTTAGAAATGTTTTGAATTCTTTGTAATTGTTTGTCTAAGAAATTTCATAATTTGGAAATATTTTGAACATCTTGTCAATATTCTAAATAATTCCCTGGTTTTCTAAAACGTTTGAAATATTCCTGATGTGGATTATGACATTTCCAATAGTTTCTAAATATTTCTAACAGCACTCTACCATTTTTTTACCATTATTTCGAATTATTTCTAACATTTTGTAAATAGGTCAGTGGGATGGGAAGGAAGTAATTCACACATCCCTGTGAAGTACAGGGTAGACTGCCTGGGTGTCAGGCATTGATGCCTTATAACAAAAGAGCCACCAGTGTCCAGCAGTGAAATCTAAAATATACAGAGGAAGAC